GCGTCACATTCACTCCACCACTGTCCACCTCACAGCAACGGACCGGCGAATGTAGACCAGCACCGCATCAGACCTCCACCGCCCGTGCGCCTTAATCTCCTCCAGACCCACCCCAGCATTGGCAGCCACGGTGGCCCCCCCCTTGCGCAAGCTGTGGGCCGATATCCTAGCGAGATCTATCCTCAACTCCGGCTCGTACCCCTGCAACTCACCCAGCAACACATGCAGCCTACTAGTGAAATCCCCGCGCCGCCATGCCGTGCCCTGATTGCCCGGCCCAGTGATTCCCCGTACGAAGAGCGGGGAGTGACCCTCGGCCGTCCGCACGCACTCCAGGTGCCGCTGTACTATGCGAGCGATGGGGATGCCGCTCTGGGTGATTGCTGCCAGGCACACCAACGTCCCCGCTCCCTTCTGGTCCGTCTTGCTACGTACGATCTGCAGCCCCACACCCCCTCCCGGCAACTCCTCAACGCAGCCCACTGTCAGGGCCGCCAACTCGCTCCTCCGGAGCATCCCGAAAAAACCCAAAACCAGCCAGCAGGCATCCTGGGTGAACTCCGTCGCCCTCCACGGCTCCGCATTTGCCCTGCACCGTAGCCACGCCACGAGCAGCCTCAACACCCCTAGGGGCAGGGGTGCCTTTGCCATGGACGGTGCCGACTCCGGCCCTGCAGCAGTCCTCCGCAACGCTTGGCCCAGGGTTCGCTTGACCAGCGGGTCACGGCTGATATATGCCTCTGGCGAGACTCCCATGAACCGCTGCCAGTCCGCCAGGGTGCTCAGCGTGCCGGTGACGGTGGAGGTCGTGTACCGGCCAACTGCATGCGCTATGAACAGACACACCAGGTCCCGATTGAGGTCAGACCCACGCTGGCGGGGCAGGGCGTCCGCCTCCGGAACCCCTGCGACCTCTGCACAGAAGCGTACAAATCGTCGTCCAGATCTCGACCTGCAAAGCCGATCAGCAGCCTGCGAAGCATCGCAGCGTCATCTCGCACCTCCTCGTCTTCCTCCTCTTCTTCTTCTTCTTCTTCTTCTTCTTCTCCTCCTTCGTCCTCATCTTCCTCCTCCTCCTCCTCCTCTTCTTCTTCTTCTTCTTCTTCTCCTCCTTCGGCCTCATCTTCCTCCTCCTCCTCTCTCTGCTCATCCTCTCCGTTGTCCAGTCCTTCCACAGCCCTCCTGACCAATTTGTCCCCCTCCCCCTCCTCCTCCTCCTCCGCGCCACCATCCTCGTCGTCGTCATAACCATCACTGCCGCCTGCATGTATCCCAGCAAGAGCTCGCCGTCGGCCTAAACCCACCTGCGCATGGCACAGCATGCATGGCATAACTTGCGGTTTGCGTGTCCTAATACATATATATATAGGGTTATATAGGATTTGGCACTACTGGTAAGGCGCGACCTTTGCCCCCTGGTTGATCCCGGGATCGATACCCATCAGGGTCAAAAGTCCTTCCGATGGTGGAAGGCATTGCGCCCCTAGTTGATGGACGGTGGTGACCTGGGTTAAGGTTAACCTGCGAGCCGACCAGGAATGGAGTTGCGCCGCTGTCGACCCGGCAGAATCCGTTGGATGCTGGTGTGTAACGACGCAAATGCCAATCTGAGCATCCCGGGTTACGCCTTTGCTGTGTTACAATGGTATCGAGACGGGACCGCACGAATACCGAAATAAACTTCGGGTCGGCGGTTCGATTCTGGCAACCAGCAAGTCGCAAATTGGCGATTTCATGGTGTAATGGATAAACCAGCGCACTGGCGCGAGGTGGGATGGCTCCTGTGCTCGAAATAATGGCCGAGGACGTCCATTGCTAAGTGGGGGGCAATGTAACGACGCAAATGCCAATCTGAGCATCCCGGGTTACGCCTTTGCTGTGTTACATGGTGGTGGGTGCGGAACCTGAGCGATCCACTGAGAAGTTGACTAGGGTGACTGGATGAGGGTGCCCCGAAATACCAGGGAAGGCAGGGTTTCGCAGGGTAGCTGCCGC